ACAATAATGAATAATCTATAAAAATGAATAATCTATAAAAAAGCGTTGAGCTCAAAATCAACATTGAGGCCATAAGGGACTAAAGTATTCAGAGAAAATATCAATTTTGCCTCAGTTTGATCGAGGTTAATATCTATGCTTCCTCCCCTACAATGTATATTAACTTTTTCTATGGATATAAATGTCAGCCCTGCTGGGTCTCGTCCGTGCATTTCTTTAAAATGTTTCGATAGATTATGAGTCATAAGACCTTTTTTGATATTTCGAATGTGTTCTCCAATTCTGATTTTAAGCTGTCTTTTAGTCCATCCAACATATTGTTTCTGGCATGGGCATGTAATGAGGTATATTACTCCAGAAGTATTACAATTCATGTTTGTTCTTATCTTGTGTTCTTTCAAGTCATTAAGTGATATAAATTTAGTGCTCTTGATTGCTGTTGTCAGATTGTTTTTGCAACCTGCACACTTTTGACATCTCGTAAAGCCTTTCAAATTCCCTTGTTCTTCTCTGGTCCTCTCCGATCTAATAGTGGGTGCTAGCATTAACTTGAGATTGGGTGCCCATGTGTAGATGATTTGTGTATTCTCCTCAGTAAGTTGTGCTACAGTTGGATCACTTCTTAGTATTCCCCAGTGTCTCTTAAGTATTCTTTGTATAGTCTGCGACTGGGTGTTGTATTGTGTAATAAAGGCTGTCTTATTGGATATCTGTGTTGATTTAATATTATTCTGTAGGGTATCTTCTCGTGGGATAGTTAATGTTTTCTCAAGAGCTTCTCCCAAGAGTGGGATATCCTTTTATGATGAATCTCTTCTTCATCTCTTCCATCTGTATTCTACATATATCGGTTTTTGAACAATTTCTTTTAATTCTTCTGAATTGATTTTGAGGGATGTTTTTTTAACCATACAGGTATGTGGTGGCTGCTGAAAGGAATGAGACTGTTGCAATCCACATTCTCTTTGAATGTCTTGGTGTGCAATTCTTTTCCTTCTATATATATGTTGAGATCTAAGAACTCTGTCTGTTCTTTAGATTGCGAAAAGGTAAAATTGAGGTGGTATGGATTGTTGTTCAAATAGATTTTGAATTCTTCTAAGGACTCCAGGTCACCTTTCCATATAAAAAAAAATCGTCAATATATCTCTGCCAGAGGAACAGTTTTGCGCCAAATGGGCAGTGATCCCATATAAATTCATCTTCTCATTTGCCCATAAATAAGTTGGTGTAACTTGGCACAAAACGTGTTCCCATGGTGGTCCCTGTTTGCAGATAAAAATGTCCTCCTGACCAAAAATAGTTGTGAGTTAGAATAAAAGCTATACATTGTACTAAAAAGTCTATTTGGTCGTTCTTGAATTCGGAGTAAACTGCCGAGGAGTATTGGATGGCTTCGCAGTCTTTCAGATGCTCGATGACAGTATAAAGCGAGGTGACATCAGCTGTGACTAAAAACATGTCTTCTTCCCATATAAAATCAGAGAGCAGGTTAAGAACTTGGGTGGAGTCCCTTAGGTATGATTTCAGGCAGACAACTAAGCCTTGTAGATAGTGGTCAACATATTCTGACAAGTTGGCAGTGAGGGATCCAATGCCTGAAATGATCGGTCTTCTGAGTGGTTTCTCTAGTCTCTTATGGATTTTGGGTAAATGGTAAAATACCGATACCCTTGGGAAATCACGGCTTGAACTATTTTGCTTTGCATGTAATGCGTCTATCTCCGCAAACCTATGTGATAGAATGTCCAAAAGTAGATAAATGTCAGTACTGTGCAATAGCCCCAAATAAGTGTTTGTGGGGAAGCTGGGTATTGAGATAAATGTGTATGATTTCCACCTCCACAGCGGTGGTTTAGGAAATCAGGAGTATTCTGTGTAAACTTTGTATCCAACAGCAGTGATCACAGTAACTTATCTTCAAAGATACAAACCAAGCAAAGAAAGTGCAACACAGTTTATTAATATCATGTAAAAATAAAACTCCAGATCCTTTAAAAAACTCATACACAGTGCAAAAGATGGTGTTTAAATCCTACTTTCCATCTAAGGATCCAAACAGAGTCCAGAATATGTAGCAGATAAGCAGTGTGCTGAAAGTATTACCACTCCCTTGGTGCAGTAGAAATCCAGAAAATGTCCAAGGATCTAGCCGAAATGATGCAAGTTCAAATGGGGGGATGACAAAGCACTTACCTGCCAAAGGTGTCTGTCTGGAAAGATAAGATGAAAGGCTTCAAACTCATCCACGCGTTCCGCCAGTACTAAAAGGGCTTTTTCAAGATCTACTTTTGAAATATTTAAATATACTTATTCTTATTTAGTTATACATAATATAGGAAAATATAATTATTAAAGATGTTCTCCAAGAACAGTAATCATAACTTGCGTTGCTATTTTAGGTTAAAAGTTGAAAAGTTGAGTCTGCACTCTCTCTGCACTTCTCTTTAATCATAGAGGTCAGGAAGTTAATAATAACAGAAATACACTTCAGAGAAATCTGAGTATTGTTTGAACTTAAATTAAAACATAACTTTTTTTCAGAGGGCAATAGTTCAGTGTGATACGTGGACTTGCTCCATTTAACATTGTTTACTATGCTCAATTTTTAAAAAGGGTTTTTGTTCTCTGATGAACAGTTAAACTTGTTCTAGATAAATATTTTGGACATGACTGAGGTCACAGGCAGTTAATAATTATTGAAATGTTACTATGTAACAAAGCATGTCTGGTATCGGCTATAATTAGTTATTTTTCGAATTTACTAGTTATCTCCATTGTATCGAATTTACTCAGAATTTATAACAAAAGCCCTTTGTCATTTTAGGGTTATCCTTACGGACGTGATCAATGGCACATGACATTCAAGAATGATGTATTTCTGGGGTTCAGCTTTTATGATTTTGTTTGCTCTTCTCATAATGCTGGATCGTCGATATTTAGGCTGTAGATCTTATTTTTTACAGCAGGATCCCCATACAATATCAAATGCTTACATTAGTTGGGAGAATAAGCATCATAAACATGAGGCCACAGAGAACTGCCTCAGTAAATTAATAATCATGTGTTTGTAAAATATTACTTTCCAAAATGCAATAGAGATCCACTGACTCAGAGAAAGATCTAATGAATACGTATTTGAGAATATGCTTTAATTAATACTAATAATAAAATTCTTGAAGAATAATTGATGACAATAATATTGTCAATTGAGGTCCATACAAATCATTGGATAAAATGAATATACCGTTCTCAGAATCAGTATTCAAATATAGAAACATAGAAACATACATTTTTCTCTTTCCTGTCTTACCTTCCCTGTCCTCTGCACAGGAGGACTCATTTGTTACTATGTTCATCTTTATGCAAATAGGGAATGTCCTACTCCATTAAATGAAAGAAAAAACTTCAAGAATGACCTCCTGAACAAAATGTGACAGGTTAGCAGACTGCTAGCCTATACTTAGTTTTACACAACCTTGTTAGATGTGGAGCAGGAGTTGTGTTTTTTTCCCCCTCTCTCATTACCCTCCTTGTTACATGTTTATATCATTTGTACATGACCAACATCAATCAGTGACCTGCGCATCTCTTTTCCTATTGTTTTGAAACATGTGAGCTTCATTGTTTTTTGTAAGATGAAGACCTGCGTGCCTCACGAAATTTCTCGTTAATTTCTTTCCTGACTTTATTTTGAAAACGAGGAAAACATTTCTCACTTGAATAAAAATAAATTTACAAAAAAAATAGCATGCTGTAGATGGCTGTCCAAATATTCCCCTCTTCCAAGCCAACCTAAACCTTACCTCAACCCTGCCTTTGTGACAATTCTTCGCCTGAAGTGAGGGTGAATAATGTCATGAAAAGCAGACTGGGCTACAGGGAGACTTGATCTCTGCAAGTTTATGATTTATTTCACAGCACACAGACATGCCAGCAAGGCTTACCCCAACCAAAAAAACTGTGTTTTACTAAAACACTATTTTGATTGGAGTAACCATTTAATAACAGATCTTTGTGTTTGTTTTGGGATCCAGCCTTCACTACACATTAATTGTACTTGATTGGTGTTTCACAGTAGTGACCATGAGGCATTTCTTCAGCAGATAACATACTCCTGCCATTTAAAAGGACTCTCAGATCACATGTACTAAGATATGTATATTTAAGCAGCATATTGCTCAATCAATTGCATTATCACCATCCTCCATTGGCCCTCATTACTTCTTGTTCCCTTTATCCTTAATACGTGAGTAGAGAGAAAAGTGGAAGAAGCTTTTATTAGTTACAGAATCAAACAGGGGGAAGTCTATGCCAAGCTGCATAGCAGTATGGGGCTGAGTGTGCTATTAAGAATAAAGAAACAAGCATCAGCATGTGTTGTGTGCTGAGGAGTTTTCTTCTAAACTATCACCACATCATTTAAAAAGGTCCACACTCACTGTCATCCATGTACTATCCACAAGGTAAATCATAAATAGTGCATCTTTATTTTGTGATAAAATATAGCATGACATCAAAATAGCAGGCAAATGTCATTAATAACATAGTGCCAAGATAGTAGTGGTATAGTATATAGTACTGTTTTTTTCCTGAAAATAAGCCCTAGTTGATAGTCTCAAATTGGCTAATCTATGTTCGGGGAATTTTCCCCAAACATAGATTCGCGGGATTCCATGCGCTAGTAAGCTCATCTATGACCGGGAAGTTTCCTTGAACATAGATTCACGGGATTCCATGCACAAGTGAACTGGTCTATGTTTGGGGGAATTCCCTCGAACATAGACCTGCTTTCTAGCACATGCTGGCTATTGTTTCCCCCCAAAATAAGACATCCCCTGAAAAAAGGCCCTAGTGTGTTTTTCAGGGTGGATGGGGGGGGGGGGTGGAATTAATATAAGACCCGGTCTTATTTTTAGGGAAACATGTTAGTAAACATACCGTGAAAAATAACCAGTCCAAAATTAGAACCCTGTGCCTGCTGTTAGGAAAGGGAGGTTGTTAAAGATAGGTGAAACACCCAAGAGGGCTCTGTACTCGTTTTGCGTCTATCCTGATGCTTTCTCAACATCTTATATTCTTACCAGTTTCTTTATTATTGTTTAAATTCTAAAAGGTTAATGTTCACTATCAGGCAGGATTGAACTATTTAGCAAAAAGTGAGGTCCATTTCATGTTTTCCCTACAGTGATTTTAGGGTTAAGCCCAAGACAGACCTGGTTCTGCTTTACTGGCCTAGGGTATCTAACTCTTTAGTTTCTAATACTGAAAACATTTGTGCTCTTTTAAATATTTTATAATTTACCTAAATCACTTAACAGTTGCTGTCATTCTCTGATCTCTTTTTAATTTTAATAATGTTTTGCTATAGAAATTTCCAACATTGATCCAAAGCTGGTACCATGCTCAGGAGAACTAAAATGATGGAACTGCATATTAGAGGAAATGGTTTATAATATAAAGCACTGGCCCACAAAATGTGGGTAAGGAATCTAAAATAATGTTGTCAGTCCATATTTGCATGTATTTTCTGGAAACACAACCTTTTGGTTCAGATATTCCTTGGACCGATATATTCTGAGAGAAAGAGTGTATGTACAATAGTTTATTTGATAATGTATACATAACACACCAGTTGTGAAATGTATTTGCCTCTCCCATTGGATTACATTAATTGTTGTGCATATTTCACATTGAGATTTGTAAGATCATTTTGTGGATTGCTGTTATAAAGCCAAAGAGCCTGAGAAATACAGAACAGAAATCAACAATAAACATTGAATTGTTACACCCATTTAACACTAACGAGATCTATTGTTAAATGTAAGTGTTTCTGCTGCACTAGGCAAATGGTGATTTCGGTGTTTCTTTACCACTCTAAATCCCACTATTGGCATCATTCTAATGTGGTACTCCAGGTGTTGTGGACATACATCAACTATAATGCTCTTATAGCCACAATGAAGGCAAAGCATCAGGGGAGATGTAGTCCACAACATCTGGAGTGCCGAAGCAGTCACTGGCTTCTTTCCTACGGAAGTGCTGATCCTGATTAGATCTGTGTACAAAGAATATTCTGTTTTTCATTTTAACAGCTGGATACTGTATCAAAAGTTGAGATCAAACAAATGTCCTGTTATTCTCCCATAAAGATTTATGCACCTTCTTTATTTTTAAGTGACTTTTTGGCCCTGTTTCCTGTTCCTCTATACTTGGGTTTTCCTGCTCCCCCACCTCATGTTTTATGTTATTTTAATGTATGTTATGTCATGTGTTTCAAGTTCTCGTGTCTCTCCTTTTGACCTCGAACTCTGAAAGGATCAGATGCTGCCTGTGTCCCTCGCAGTTCACTACAATTTATCTGTGTATTTATTTTGCCTTTCAGCGCAGACCGTGTCTGTTTCCTGTCCGCAGATGACTGAATGGATGGCTTTCACCATTATTCACCGCATAGTTTTCATTGCCGTATTATAATTTGCTTATTAGTTGTCAAAAGCAGGAGCACACCATTCACTTTATTTATTGTATAACATGTTTGTGTATGATGCTTGGGTGATAATGTGGTTTCCCTACATGAATCTTGCCGTGGTCCTTGGAGACTTTAGATGATTTGATGATCTGTGACTCCATTAACAGAAATTTCCATCATATATTTAAATGTCAAACTTCAGGAACTAATTTTTAGTATATCTGCTTGTCAATAACCTTGTGATGAGCAATGTTAGAAGTTAATTATTGCCATCCTGCTTCTCCAATATTAATCTTTGTTTCTTTATTGATTACAAATGATAGAAGATTGAGTACTGACCAGCCTAATCACTCGATCACCACTTTTTCATTATAGTAGCACTGTCACACCATACTTAACTTTTTCCAATTGCTCCCTCTTCTCTTTCTCTTTCCTACTCTGCCTTTCTTTTCCTTTTTTTTTTTAATTCTTTATTTTCCGGTTGACAGAAATAGTAAGTGTACAGATGTTGGACAGAAGGTAATGTGTGGGCTTGTGCAAAAGCCAAAAGATAAACAGTGTAGTAATGCATTGTGATACAGAGAGGTATATACCAGTAGAGTAGTGTACTGCTAACGCAACATTATTTTCTCATATATGATTCTGTTCTGTCGATTTTCCATACATTTAAACAATTCAAAACATAACCAAACAAATATTAACAAGTTTGAACCTAAGATCGAGTTTCTTTGGTATGGTACGTGGATTCGGAACTGCAAGTTAAGGGGCGAGAGTGGGTTAAGTTCAGTTCCGGGATGGAGTGTGGAATGGGGAATCCACGCTGTGGGGTTTCTGCTGGGGTTGTGGGGGGGTTGGGTGGGGGTGAGAAGGTGTCCCTGATTTGTGGGTTGTACTCCCTTTATTTTTGGGTCTAGGCGTAGGGCTTGGAGTAGGGGTTCTAATGAGAGGGCAAATAAGAGTGGGGAAAGGGGGCAGCCCTGTCTCGTCCCGTTGTAGATGCGAAAAGAGGGGGGTTGAGCGTTTGGGATTAGGCGATTCGCTTCCGGTGTGCAGTATAAGATGTTGAGCGCGTTGAGAATTGAGTCGGGGAACCGGAATTTGTGTAGGGTGGCAAAGAGGAAAGGCCATAATACTCGGTCGAATGCCTTTTCAGCGTCTAGGGACAGGAATAGGGTGGGGATTCGTCGATGAGAGGTCGTCCAAAGGAGGTCAAAGGTCCGTCTGGTGTTATCGTATGCCTGTCTGTGGGGTATGAAGCCTACTTGGTCGGGGTGTATAAGTTTATGTACGTGGGGGTTTATTCTGTCTGCAAGTAGCTTCGTAAGTAGTTTTATGTCTACATTTAATAAGGATATCGGTCTGAAGTGGCTTGGGTCCAGGTGGATTTTGTTTGGTTTGGGAAGCAGGCACACGTTTGCTCTTAGGAGGTCGGGGGGTATGGGGTTTCCCTGTAGTATCGTGTTGAAGAGGTTGCAAAGGTGGGGGAGGAGTATAGTAGGAAATGTTTTGTAATAGAGGCGTGTGAAGCCATCCGGTGCCGGGTTTTTGTTGGGTTTAGTGTTTTTGATGGCTTTGGCTAGTTCTTCGATAGTGATTGGTGCACTTATTTTGGATATAGCCTCCCTTTTTAGGGCTGGTAAGGGTATCTTCTGTAGGTATTCGTCTATAGATTGTCTGGACTCTTCGGGTTGTAGTCTGGTGTTGGGGTTATGGTCGTATAGTATGGCAAAATATTTTTGGAAGACTTCGCCGATTTTAGACGGCGTGCTGTGTGTGGTGCCGTCTGGTGATTGTATTGTGTTTATTTGTTTTCGGTCAAGTCTGCGTTGCAGCTTCCTGGCTAGTAGGGTGTCGGCCTTGTTGGATTTTCATAGTAGGTTTGTTTTGTCCATTGCATAGCTTTGGTTGTGTCTTTGGTCATGAAGTTTTTAATTTTGGTTCGGCATTCTGTTATTTCCGTAAGGATGTCTTGTGTGTGGTTTTGTTTGTGGCTCGTTTCTAGGGATCTGAGAGTCGTGAGGGCTGTTGCTAACTCAGCCAGTTGTGTTCATTTTAGGTGGGATGCGAGGCTTATCATTTTTCCCCTTAGGACTGCCTTGTGGGCAGCCCACAGTACACCTGGTGAGGGTGCCGAGGGTGCGTTTAGTGTGAAGTAGTTTGTCAGTTCTGTTTGGATTGCTTCTGTTATTTTCGGGTTGTGTAGCAGTGTGGGATTAAGTTTCCAGGACCATGGCCTGGCTACGTCGGGGACCTTGATTGATATTGTGATATCTGCGTGGTCTGACCACGTGATGTTGCCTATGTCGGCTGCTTGGGTCATGTGCGTAAGGGAGGGTGAAATCAGAAAAAGGTTGATACGGGAGTACGAGTTGTGTGGGTGGGAATAGAATGTGTAGTCCCTGGTGGTCGGGTGGAGCAGGCGCCAGATGTCTACCAGTCTCTGTCTTTGTACGAAGTCCTGCAGTAGTTTGTCTATTTTGGGTGTGGGATTTGGGCGTGTTTGGCTTCGTAGTCTGTCGACCGCCGATGTCGTTTTGGCGTTGAAATCGCCGCCTACAATTTTGAGGTGGCCAGGGGTTAGGGCTAAGTGGGCGTGGAACGTGTCCCAAAATTCTTTGTCTGGAGTGTTTGGGGCGTAGAGTGAGGTTATGGCGTATTGGTTGTGTCCTGCCTGACCCGTGAGAGTGATGTATCTGCCTTGTGGGTCCTTCAGTACTTGTTTGGTGCTGAGTGGACAGGTTTTTGCATCAGGATAGCAACTCCATTTTGTTTGGTCGTAGGGGAGTTTGCCATGTGGCACTCTCGGTATTGTCTGCTGAGAAGGGGAAAGGGTTTGGCCTGTGTGAAATGGGTTTCTTGCAGTAATATTATGTCTGCTTTTGTATGGTTTGCCCATCTCATTAGTATATGTCTTTTCGCTGGGTTGTTAAGGCCTTTGCAGTTGATGGATACGCATGTCAGATTGGTGTTCATGGTGTTCTGAGATGTGTGGTGTGAGTTGGTTCTCTGCGTGTCTGTAGTATGTAGTGGCTGCGTGCCACTTGGGGGGTACGTGGGATGTGGGGAGGGGAATGTGTAGGTCCGGAGTGGAAGTGTTGTCTGTATATTCGGTGACCGTTAGACTTGGGGGACCGAGTCCGTGGGTGTAGGAGGTCAGGGGTTTACCTTGTAAGTGGGGTGAGGGTCGGGTGTTCCCCGGTCTTATACCTAGGTTGCCGGGTGTGGCAGGGGCGGAGGTTGAGGGGGTGTAGGTACCGGTGTAATGGTGCGGTCCTATTCCCGCTTCCCAGTGGGTGGTCTGTTGTTCGGCTGGGGGGGGAGCAGGTGTGGTCGTCTGCTACTGGGGGTTGGTCGTGAGTAGGTTGTGTGAGTTGGGTCGGAGCTGTCTGGAGGGGGGATTACCCTTACCTCCCGTCCTCTCCGAGCCATGCCAGTGTTACCTGAGTCGTGATGGTTCGTCGGGTCGCTGGAAACCGATGGCTGGAGTTTCATTTAGGTGGGGGCTGCAGTATGGCCTGGTGTGTGGGGGCGTTGAGGGATCCGGGGATCTGCAGAGAAAATGTACATGTCATTAATTGTTGCTGCCGGTTGTGGTATGTTCCTGGGTTACGAGGGGTTCCAGATGGCCGGTGCTCAGGGGTCACCTGTCTTTTTTTTTTTTTTATTATTATATAAACATAATGTAGGGTTTCCAAGTGTTTTGTCTCCTGGTGTTTTAGTTGTCTAGCGCTGTGGTTTGGTTGTCAC